CCTCCTCTTCCCTCCTTTCCTTCCCTCCCTCTCCTCTCTCTCTCCTTCCCCTCACCCTCTCCCTCCCCCTCTTCCTCTCCCTTTCCTTCCTCCTCTTTCTCTATCTCTTCCTCTGTCTCTCTCTCTCCTCCCTTCTTTCTCTCCTCCCTTCTCCCTTTCCTTCCACTCCATGCTCGATATTAATTGAATTTTAGTTAGTGAGGGGAGCGTAGAGGGGAGGGGGGGGGAGAGAGAAGGGGAGGGGGAGGGAGACGGAAGAGGAGAGGGGTAGGGGGAAGGGGAGGGAGGGAGAGGAGAGGAGAGGGTAGGGGGGAAGGGGAGGGGGGGAGGGAGGGGAGAGGGGTAGGGGGAAGGGGAGGGGAGGGGAGAGGGGTAGGGGGAGGGGAGGGGGGGAGGGGGAGGTTGAATAAAAGGTTGAACCATAAATTTTCAGAAAAATGATTGACTAGTGCTTTCTTTATCAATAAAAAAATATATATATGAATAACAGAACGTGGGAACTGTTGGGAAAATAATGAAATAAATACTCATATGTTTTGAGAGAGAAAAAAGAAATCGTAAATGGATCGTAATTGAATAATAAAAAATAGAAAGCTAAATAAAAGAATTAAGAAAAAAAAAACAAGAGATAACAAAAAGAAAAGAAAAACAGAAAAATGTTTGTGAAGAAACAGTAAAACGTGAGAGATTATCAAGATATATTAACTACTACAATTAAATATATTGAAAATAAATCGTTGTTTATCTTACGTGAATGTCATAAGTCCGATTCTTAAATATCAAAAAAATAAATCCTGTATTTCCAAAAGTGATTAAAAATAAATCTCAAAAACCTTAGCCATTATCTATATTAATACTTAAAAAAAAACATAATAAATACATTTTAAAAACCCGGAAAAATTCACACACACATATATATGTATGTAAACAATCGTATATTTTGTAGCAAGCGCTGTCAACGAAGAGAAACAGCTGATAACAGAACCAAACGCGTGTCAATCAGAGAGAGTGAATGGGTAGTTGATATCAAATGAAAAATGTGATTGCGATAAGAACGGTTGTTTTATTGATGAAAGTGATGGTGGTGATGACGGTGATGATAGTGATAGTGATAATGAATGCTGATGATAGTGATAATTATGGTGGTGATAATGACGGTGATGATAGTGATAATTATGGTGATTATAGTGATAGTGATAGTGATAATATATGCTGATGATAGAGATAATGATGGTGATGATAATGATGGTAATGATCATGATAGTAATGATAATGATGGTGATGATAATGATAATAATGGTGATGATAGTCATAATGATAATAATGATAATGATGGTGATGATATGATAATGATAATAATGGTGATGATAGTCATAATGATAATGATGGTGATGATAATGATGGTGGTGATAGTGATGATGATAACGAGAAGAGAAATACTGTCAATAGTAATACTAGTTATAGCAATGATAGTGGTCCACATATGATGACACTAAAGGTTATGGTAAAAAGGACTGAAACAACAGGAACAATAGCAATTGTAATGATAACAATAATATCAATAGTAATATTAATAATGATGATAATGATAATGGTAATGATAATCATAATTATTATTATAATATGATTATCATATTAATGATAACAATAATAATCATAATGAAAATAGTAGTTACTAGATAATGATAATAATAGTAATGGTAAGAATAATGATATTAATAGATACAATAACAAAAAAAATAATAATGATAATAATGAAAATAATAATGATAATGATGATGGCAACAATCATAACTGCAGTAGTGAGAGTAATTTGCACTGATGATTACTATTGTTAATGATAATGATAGTAATAATGATAGTGAAGAGCAAAAATGAAAGAACATTTTATTAACATTATTTACTAGCAAATATATGATCCAATGTTCTGAAACTATCAATTCTTTTGTCTAACAGACGACTCCGCTATCTATTTATAATCATAAAGATAGCCATAGCAGTAACCTTTTTAATAACAAGACCAATTATATCAAAACCCAAAATGAGGCTAAAAAAAAGAAAAAAGAAAAGAAAAAAGAAGAAAATCGAAAAAAGCGCGGGAAAACTTCTACCGTCTTACGTCTGGCAGCCATGGCGAGAGTTCAGCACTTACGTCATACGTCTGGCAGCCATGGAGAGAGAGTTCGAAGAAAATGGAAAATAAACATCTTGGCAGAAAACGAGGAACTGGGAGGATACGAGCGTACGTCGGGAAATGTAAATCACTATGATTCAGTGTAAACAGGAGAAGGGATCAGCTGGAGCACGCGATCCCAGAGTTGAATAAAAGTTTGATATATATAAGAGAGAGACGGTTATTTGTTGATTTTTTTCTCCCCAAGTGTTTTTTCCTTTTTTTGGAAGGGGGGGAGGAGAGGCTGGTATGGCTGTGGCAGGAAGAGAAATGGTGGAATTGTATTTACACACGTGGTTCCTTTGCCTCTGTAACGAACGCATTCAGAGGTAGTGTTCCTCTCCGTACATGCAATTAAATCCGCCGAAGGACATTTCTCCTTCTTTTATTGCAGAAATACCCATGCATTCGAACGCGCCCGGAAATCATTATCAAAAAACAGCAACTCCTCGTTTTCTTTCATTAAATCGAGGAGGGACTTTTACATTTCTTTTTTACGAACGCACACACAAAACCCCCGTCGCGCATATACAAACCCGAGAACCCCGGGATTCTCTAAGCTCGAAAAGACACACTGACAGCCAAAGTAATGGGCAGGGAAGAGAGAGAGAGAGAAAAAAAGGGAAGAAAAAGAAAAAAAAAAAAGAAATCGCAAAAGCTTTTGGTAGACTCGAGGCAGCTTCGGTTCCACGATTTAAATACTGCAAGTTGTTACAATTTCCAAATGGAATGCAACTCAGACGCGGCAACTTCAAACTGAATACACGCTTTCTGCTTCAGTGCAATTTTTGGCATATAAATAGATAGATAAATAACCGAATTGGTGGATGGATGGATGGATGGATAGATAGATAGACAGATAAGTAGCTGGATGAATAGCTAGACAGCAGGAAAGGTGGATAAATGAATATAGATTGATATATATAGATCGACAGGTAGATAGATAGATATAGATAGACAGATAGATGATATAGATAGACAGATAGATGATATAGACAGACAGATAGATGATAGAGATTGACAGATAGCTGATGGAGATTGACAGATAGATATAAATTGACAGATTGATATAGATTGACAGATAGATAAATATTGATTAACAAATAGATAGATATAGATTGACACATAGATAGATATAAATCGATAGATAGATAGATATAGAGAGGCAGATAGATAGATATAGATTGACAGATAGATAGATAAAAATCGATAGATAGATTGACAGATGGACAGAGATAAAAAGCTAAAGATAAA